ACTTGTGTTTTATATTTTCTTATAGCTGGAAATCCTGATCTTGCAAAGACTTTATGCACTGTGAATAGTCCCTTCAACTTCAATGTGACTACTCACTCTGCAATAAGTTAAGCATGTGTATAAATCTTTAAGGGATTTGAACCACAGAATGAAAATGTTGATGTTTATGAGACAATACACAATAAGCATATACTGACATAAAAACAAAGACTAACTGAATGATTAAAGAGTAGCATGTATACAGCAACAACCTAATTCCAATGCATATGAAGACCCTCAACTGCTTTTTCAAGAGAGTAAAAATACAGAGGGTAGGCCTGAATCTCCACTGCTTTGCACATTGTTTAATCACTTAGCTGTGTGTAAACTGAGAGTACCATTGTGGTTTGGTGTGTGCAGTGTAGTTGTAGCCATGTCAGTCCCAACTGATAAACTTTTTAATGGACCAACTTCTATTGGTGATAGAGTCAAGCTTTCAAGCCACACAGACCTCTTCTTCAGGTCTGGGAAAGGAACTTCCAGCATCACAGCAAAATGCAAGGTGTAACAGAGGTTTGGTCTACACTGGAGGGGGGGAAGGAATCGATCTAAGTTATGCAACTTCAGCTATGTGAATAACGTAGCTGAAGTCGACGTACTTAGATCTACTTACCACGGTGTCTTCACTGAGGTAAGTCGACGGCTGACGCTCTCCCGTCGACTCTGCCTGCGCTCTCGCCCTGGTGGAGTACCAGAGTCGACGGGAGAGCACTCAGTGGTCAATTTATCGTGTCTAGACTAGACGTGATAAATCGACCCCCGCTGGATCAATAGTTGCCTGTCGATCCAGCGGGTAATGTAGACAAGCCCAGATTGTTTAACATAGATAGTTAGCACATACTGTAAGGGATCATTCAAGGTAGAGTACCCCATTAATATTTGTAAGCGTGTAGGTGGGTGTGACTCTCCCTCGCTGTCAGTCTCTGAGGGAGACCACGCCCCTTTGCTGACACACTCCTGAAACCACAGTCTAAGTAAAGGGGGAAGTTAGCGGTCTCCGGCTCCAACCCTTAGGCAGGGTAGCTGCGAGTGGTTCGGAGGAGGGGGGGGGGCAGGCCCTCAGCCAAGGCAGGGCACCAAACAAACAGTTTAGAATGCCGGTAGAGGTTAGGAACCCAGCAAGAAATCTAGGGGGCTGGCAGAGGTGACCACCACCCCAGTCTGTCGTCCTGGCTCTGGTGGGCGACAGACAAACTCAGGCCTCTTGGCCTAAGGAGGGGGAATACTGCCATGCTGAGGGGAGTGGAGTGGCAGGGGTAGGGAGACACAGGCCCTCCCGACTCCACTGCATCCCAGGCTAGAGCCATAACAGTGGCAGAGTGGTCTGCCACTGGGTCAGCAGGGAATGTTGGAATGCTGCCTCCCCTCCCCAGCTCTGTCTCCCCTGCTGTGGGAGGTGGGGGGCTGGCATCTCCACTTGCTCCCTCCACATTGCACCTCACTTATTTTTTTTCCAAAAGTGGGCATCTGTCCCGTTTGCTCTTGCCAACTGATCAAGGCAGCAAGAGCAAATGGGACAAATGCCCACTTTTGGAAAAAAAAAAAAAGAGTCAGGAGAGAAGGGACAGGGCTTAAAAAAGGGACTGTCCCAGTCAACACGGGACGTATGGTCACCCTAGCCTAGTGGATAGGCAGTCCAGATCAGCAGTCAAGAATTTATACAAAGGTTCGAAAGCCAGGAGATCCAATCCGAGGGGAAGAAACTTGGAGAAGTTAAGTATGAAGCTGACTGCGAAGAGTTACAAAAGGACCTCACTAAACTGGATGACTGGGCAACAAAATGGCAGATGAAATTCAATGTTGATAAGTGCAAAGTAATGCACATTGGAAAAGTAATCCCAACTAAACTTACAAAATGATGGGGTCTAAATTAGCTGTTACCACTCAAGAAAGATCTTGGAATCATCATGCATAGTTCTCTGAAAACATCTACCCAGTGTAAAGTAGTAGTCAAAAAAACAAATAAACTATGCAATTATGAAATAGCAGACAAGGAGTTATTTGCCATCCAGGCTACGTTTGAGAATTGGCGACACTACTTTGAGGGGGCCAAACATCCCATCCTAGTTTTAACTCACCATAAGAATCTAAAATATCTATGATCTGCCAAAGCTCTGAATCAGCATCAGTTGTGTTGGACCCTATTCTTTTCAAGATTTGATTTCATAATGATGTATCATCCAGGCAACATGAATGGCTAGGCTGATGGCCTCTGATGAAAAGGGGAATACTATACACTAACCCCAAAGAACTGCCACCTTACACATTAAATCCACACCATTTAATTTGTGGGTCTGTAGCCTCGGACTTCCTTACCATGCTTTGAGCAGCTCTCCCAAATGATCCTTTTTTAAACTCATAACCTCAACCAAGGAGGATCTCCCTAGTACCACCGCATGCCACTATTCATGGGTCAATAACCTCCTCTATGTCAATGGCTCCCTCTACGACCCCAAAGGTTTCCCAAGATGGGAAGTGCTGTGCATACATCATGATACCCCTTAGGCAGGTGACTTTGGGCAATCCAAGACTCTGAGTTGTAGCCCACTTGTTCTGGTGGCCACAAATGCAGGATGACATTTGGTCCTACAACATCTGTGCTTGCACAAAACTCCTCTAGAGCAGGACTTTCGGCCTCCTGATGCCAACGTGGGATCCTTTCCTGGCCCTGGTCACATATTACCCCTGATTTTTATAATGGAATTACCCGAATCTGAAGGCCTAACATCATACTAACTGTCGTGGACCAACACACCAAAAAGGCCAATTTTGTACCATGCACATGTGGAAACTACTGAATGCCTTCTAGTTACACATATCTTCTGCCGCCATGGCCTCCCAAAACATCTTGCCACAGACTGTGGCTTCCAGGTCATATCCAGGTTCTGGAAGGTTGGGTTTCCCTCCAAGATGTCCAGATCATGCATCCACCACACATCATCCTCAGATGGATGGCCAAACAGAAAAGGTCACCCAGATGCTTAAATAATAGATTGACAAGTACGTAGGAGTGATGACTGTGTATTAGATATATAAGTAAAGCATGTCTGGAATGCAAAGCCTAGAGGCTGAGGACTGTAAGATTTTAGTTTAGCCATACTAGGTCATAGGCTTAAGAATGCTTGACATGAGTGGGTAACCTAGGAATAGCCATATGCTAGGAAGGTTAGAAGATGACTGTAAAAGATGGGCCAATAGGTGATGTTATGGAAAAATAGACCGCAATGTACTGTCAAAGACCACAAGACGCCTGATTGTAACATCATGGAATGTCCTGTTCTGACTGCAGGTTACCATGGACACATGTTGTGTGTAGATGCTAATGAGAATAAGGGGAACTAAGATAGCAACCTATGAAAAACGGGGCACCCAAATATTCCTGGAGTGTGGAAGTACAGATAAGGAAAAGAGTGTTGAAACCATCATGCATATGCACAGGGTGTTAAGTATGGTCAGAACAACAGTATAAAAGAGATTCCCTGGTTGGGTAAAAGTGGGAAGACCCCAAGGGAAGACCCACAGGAAACCCCAGCAGGAACCACCTCTACCCCCGGTTCAAGTTCAAGACCATGAGACATATCTCATCTATGACAGCCTGGACTTCCAAATGCATAGAGGGCCCCTGTATTATCTGATCGATTGGGAGGGTTATTGGCCTGAAGAATGCTTTTGGGAGCCAGCTCATCATGTGCACACCCCTGCAAAAGTATGGACCTTCCACAGGAATCATTCAGAGAAGTCTGACCCCATGGATTACCCTAGGAGATGGGGTGGCATCAGGCACCACAGGTCTTGATCCCAGGCCTGGGCAGCTGCCAAGCAGGAGCCTTACTCTGTATACCATCATGTTGCAAGAGCTGATGAGGGAACTGCTGCTAATACCCCCTTCCCCCACCAGAAGCTACACCTGCTGATTCAGTGGGGTCAGATGACTAACAGCAGACGGCTGATTGGACACTACTGATCATAAAGCTTCCTATTCCTGTCCCATCTCTTGTCTGAGCAACTAGTTGCTATGCTTGTTGCTGCCCAGACTGCTGAGACCAAGTCCCCACCTCCTTGCCTTGTTCCCTTTACCCATATTTGTCCCTATTCCTGTTACCACACCTTGTTCCCCATTGCTGATTCAAGCTGTGACCCTTGGCATGACTTCTGATTCTGACTCCCCCTTTGACCTCTGGTGTGACCATGACCCTGACCCTACTCCTGACTCTCACCAGTAGGTCAGACAGCTCACATTATGGGCCCTAACACCTTTCATATTCAAAATGCAGTTTTCTGTTAGTCCCCTAGACAGACCCTGACTAGATTATAGGCGCTCCTCACATCCAGCTTGGTGACTAACCAGGCCATTCTTAATTGATCTATGAGCTCTGGGATCGGGGTAGTGTAACATTTTTGCATGGTAATTTTATTTAGGGCACAGTAGTCCAAACACAGCCTTAAGGATCCACCCTTCTTTTTTATGAAAATGACAGGGGCTCTGACTGGCGAGGTGGACTGTCAGATAAAACCCCTTTTAAAATTCTCATGCATACATTCTAAATACAGAACTCCAGTGAACAAACTGAAATTACCATAGTTTTTCCCTTTCATTTCATAAAGCTAACTGTTTGTTTTTTAGTCGCTGGGAACAAATATGGTATCAAATTTCTAAGCTATAATTAGTTTCAAAAATAATTATAAATTCAATTTACTTTCCAACACCTGGCTGAAAGGTTATCTTTTTAACTACCTCCTTTAATTACAGTTGTGTAGTATTTGTAAAGTGTCAGAATTTTAATGAGAGTTTGCTTTCCAAGAGTTCATAGAATTCCATTACCCTTTTCCTTTACTACCCCTTTTTGTACTAAGTTTAATTTTGCACAGGTCACACTAACAATAGTCACTATAGGCTCAACTAACTCTGCTGCCCCCATCACCCTCGGAAATTCATCAATGCTACAAACTACTGACCTTACCCTAAACCCATTTGATTGCAGGCCAGTTGGCTTAACTTTTCTTGCCACTCATCAGCACAAACATGGTAGTCAGTAGCTGACCTGTGAACAGTCAGGAATGCCAAAGAGCTTGCATTTTTAGATAGGGTCACTGCAAAGAAAAAGAAAAAGAAAAGTAACTTAAGTATTTCTTCAGCAAGTTGGTATGCTATTTGCTACATTGTAAATATAAGAATACTTTCAAAAGTGTCCTCGAGTAATGCAAGATCCAGTTATTTTTTATCTCCTCTATACTTTATGAAGATTTAATTAAGAACATAAGAACATAAGAATGGCCATACTGGGTCAGACCAAACGTCCATCCAGCCCAGTATCCTGTCTACTGACAATGGCCAATGCCAGGTGCCCCAGAGGGAGTGAACCTAACAGGTAAGGATCAAGAGATCTCTCTCCTGCCATCAATCTTCACCCTCTGACAAACAAAGGCTACGGACATCATTCCTTTCCCATCCTGGCTAATAGCCATTAATGGACTTAACCTCTTTTAAACCCTGTTATAGTCCTAGCCTTCACAACCTCCCCAGGCAAGAAGTTCCACAGGCTGACTGTGCGCTGTGTGAAGAAGAACTTCCTTTTATTTGTTTTAAACCTGCTGCCCGTTAATTTCATTTGGTGGCCCTAGTTCTTATATTATGGGAACAAGTAAATAACTTTTCCTTATTCACTTTCTCCACACCACTCAAGATTTTATATACCTCTATCATATCCCCCCTTAGTCTCCTCTTTTCCAGGCTGAAAAGTCCTAGCCTCTTTAGTGTCTCCTCATCTGGGACCCATTCCAAACCCCTAATCATTTTAGTTGCCTTTCTTTGAATCTTTTCTAATGCCAGTATATCTTTTTTGAGATGAGGAGACCACATCTGTATGCAGTATTCAAGACGTGGGCATACCATGGATTTATATAAGGGCAATAAGATATTCTCCGTCTTATTCTCTAACCCTTTTTAATGATTCCTAACATCCTGTTTGCTTTTTTGACTGCCGCTGCACACAATTCAAGAAGGAGGCAGCAGTGGCCATCAGAATGTAGGTAGTCCTAGACAAGACAATACGTAAGATAACAAACAAGAGAGACATCCTGAAGTTTAGCTCTAACCAAACCACTTTAATTCATCATTTGTTTATATGGGGCTAGAATGAGAGCCTCTCTCATGTTGAGTAGTACCTTAGTCCACAAGTAGTCCAACTGAAATCTATGAGACCATTTGTGGGATAAGGTGCTGCTCAATATAAGAACAGTATCAGAATCTGGCCCTTGATAAATTTATATTGCTCCTATTATGACTATATCAGGTGTGTTTATAGAAAGGAAAAACAATCAATAGCTATTGCCTACAAAAAAGACCATCCTCTGCTATTATCATCATCTCTTTCCCCAACCTGTTTATTGGTTTAATGTCTGCCTTTGTTTTGATCCTGCACAAGAAAGTTTCCAAATGGCCAAAAATGCATTGAGGTAAACTTAGATCCCCCTATATTGTTACAGTTTGTCACAGGAACTCTTGACAGAAGGTTTTTTGTGTGCATTCCCCCCCCCCCAAATACATATTGTTTTTATTTAAACTTTGTACTTCTCACTTATTCTTGGATTTCATTCATCCTAACTTAGTTATTAAGCATTTTTCATTCATACAACACTGCTTTTACCTCTCTATAAGAAAATTATATATTAATCTTTGATTCCTCCTTCTTGATACTTCAAACTCATGTTTATATTTTGTCTCCACTGTCTAAGTAATTTTGATAGATGTGTGCCCAATGTATTTTCTCAGCATTATGAATAAAGAATATTTGTTTCTCTAAATAACAGGATATCTTTCTCTTTTACACTAAAAATGTCATAAAACATCCGATTTCTTTGTGGTACTGTATTACCTTCATACAGAGAAATAGATTAGCTTCAGTAGCACCACATATACAGTGCAGCCAATTGCTGTCTGGTGGAGTTAGGGTATATGGGCGAGGACACCACAACACACACACACACCCTGCTTCCTTCAAATATTGCTATTGCTTATGTGGGACCTACATAATTCTTACTCAAACAGTCATGCTTTGAGAACTCTTATTTTAATAACACATAAAAGCATGAGGCCTTTTTATGGGTGCTGGTACTGCAGGTGGGTAATAGTCAGGTTTCTCTGCTGACTGTCCCCTTTCTCACTTCCAGTCCATTCAAAATGGAGCTGCCAGGCTTATTTTCCTCTCAGCACCACTGAAGTCAATGGGAATTCTGACACTGAATTCAATGAGTACAGGATCAGGGCCCTAGTCATTCTGCCCAGGTCACTTCTATACTTCAGTTTCTTCATTGCCTCTCTGCCTTCTTTTACAGCAGTCTTAAGACTCTACTCCTCACTTCAGAAGCTCTCCACATTTCCATTCAGTCAACATCACTTCTCTCATCTTATCCTCTCCTGCACCTTGCAGTATCCATACACTTGCCATCTAACCCTTCCTCTTTCTCCTTTGCCCACTGTACAGTTTGTACTGACTTTCATGCTTTCCTGGAACAGGCTCCTAGTCCAAGTTCTTCCCAGTCCCACTTCGGAAAAATGTTATAAAAACTCAACTATTTCATTACATGTAGAATCCACAACATCACTTCCAGCCAGTGGCACAGATGAGACTTACCACAGTTCCATTCATCTGAGTTGTCCATGCAGTCTAGCTGCCCATCGCACCACAGCTCACTTGGCACACAATCATGACTGGCACATTCAAGCTCATCTGCCTTGCAAAATGCTGCCGAGACAAACACAAATATTAAGATGATGATTTTAAAAATGACTATCATAAAAATGCACACTAAGATCTGATTGGGTAAAGGCATAGGGACAAGTTCAGAGCAGGTTTACAGAGCAGGGGGATAGAGTCAGCAGGCAGAAAAACTATTGGGGGTGAGGAGGACGACTCAGCTGGAGGGGATCTGTGGGAGGCCAGCAAAACCTCAGAGGTGGGAAATGGTGTCTGGAAATGGCATGGCCAGGGTACATGATTCAGTGCATCCTACCTACCGGGTTTCAACTTTGGTCCTATCATTATAGCATTGGAGTCCCTCACAAACTTTAGATGGAAACTTTTTGTTTCTCACTTTTTGCTGGATTGCACTAATCCTAACCCAGATAGTTATTCTGTGTTGATTAGACATTCATCCTTTACCCGGAGATACCTAAAATTCACAAGTATTGTCATCGTCATTTCAGAGGTGGGAAACTGAAGCATGGAGTGGCTTGCTCAAGGTCACTGTAGCAGGGTGGTCACCCCACTCCAGCCCTGAAGGGGTTAAAGCAGCCATGAAGAGGGCTGTGGCTAGAAAAAACTGGGCGGATTAGAGAAGCAGCCACAGCTGGGACCACGCCCTAATCAGGCCATGGCTGGCCCTATAAGAGGACTGAGGGCCAGAGGCTGTAAAGACACTCTCTCTCTAGCTTCCTTGAGAGAGAAGGACCTGGCTGCCTGGGAAGCTGAGAAGGGTACCTAGGGTGGCGCAGTGCTGGGGAAGGGCAGAGGGAGCTGGGGAGCTCCAGCCTAGCAAAGCCACAGGCTGCAGGCCGAGTTAAGGGACCACTAACGGGTACTGGGGCTGCAGGGGGGCAGCCCAGATATAGGCAGAGGCAGCTTGGTCCAACCCCCCTGGCCAATGATGGGTGGTTTGCAGACTGCAGTCTGCACCAGTGAATGGGGGCTAGATGGGGACTGGCAGTAGCCACTGAGGCAAGGTGGGGATAGAGGGTTGGGGGTTCCCCTGGGTGGGGAGACCCAGATTGTGGGTTACTGCTGGGGTCAGAACCCTGAGGTAAAAGGCACTGGGGTCCGGGAGGGACACAGGGGCCAGCGGCAGGCAAGACACCGGCCTGCAGAGGACGCTCTGGGCTGGAAGAGCTAATTCCCAGGATGACCAGCAGGAGGCGCCACACCGGTGCATTGTTGCTCCACTACAGTCACATAGATAGTTTGTGGCAGAGCCAGGACCTGAACTCAGGTCTCCTGAATTCCAGTCCAGTATCCACAAGATCATCCAATGTCAGTTTGTGCTCACGTACAGTCCCCATAGGATTTTACAGCTACCCCCAGCCATCACAAAATCCCCAGGAAGGGCAGTCATGCAACATTATCAGCCCCACTTTATCAGGCTTTTCCCCTGGGGCCCCAGCGCAGGCTGACACAAGGAAGTATAATTAGCACCGTCATGCAGTAGCTTTAGTGACTCCAGATCTTAGTTCTCATTAATTTTTGTATATGTCTTATTAGTTTATAAAGTGTATTACTGTACAAGTCAGGCATTTATTTACAACACTAAGATCCATCTTAACATACATAAAACAATCCACAATGAAAACCATAAAACTATATAAACGGATACTGTCTGCTGTGACATTAACAACCATGTGTCTTCAGGCCAGGAACAAAGTATGTAAACCCAGAAAAACAAGAACACACACACACACACACACACACGCACGTACAAAATCAAGAAAAAACTAAACCAAACAACCACGCCTCACATCATGCCCTGAAGCTCTCTAACTCTGGCTCTGAAAGGCCTCCAAGGGGAACAAATTCCAGAGTTAGAGAGCCCTCAGCTGAGAAGCTCTATTGCCATTCCTGAATAATTCATCCCCAGGACTGACAGCAAGAGTAGAGAGGAAGGATAGTGCAATGGTTAGGGTGCTAGCCTGGGACTCAGGAGACCCAGATTCAGTTTCTTGAGGTCACAGACTTCTTATGTGACCTTTGGCAAGTCTGTTCCTCAGTTCCTGTCTGTAAAATGCAAATAGTACCTCCCTATTTCACAGGGGCATTGTGAGTAAAAGTACCTTAAAGATTGTGAGACATTATTCTACAGTTACAGGAACCATATAAGTAGCATAAGTACAGTACCCCAGCTGATCTGAAAAGCTGTAGTTTATTATGTAAAGGGAGTTGCTCTCAGTTATTCACATCTCAAAACATTCAGAGCTTTAGAGACCATCTTGACTTGTGTAATCTGTGCATTAGCTTATGGGTTACGCTGAGTCCAAAACTAGCTAATATGCGTTAAGATAAAATATAAGGGAGAAATGCAAGAAGCCAACAGGCCTAATCCTTTAAAATAGTAACTTAAGCAGTTAGCATAAGGATATGAACTTTGGCATAAGTAAATTGTTTAGCTTACTGTACGTTAGCAGTAACGCTAGGTCATAAAATGGCATAAGACATAATTTTGCAATAAATAATTTTGTTGAAATTTTGCAGAATGCTGATGGGTAACTGCAAAAAGTCAGTTGATGCCAGTTTGGAGTATTTTGTGATAGGCACATTAGCAGATGCTTAACCACAGAATTATTATAGTAACCAATTGACATATATGCTAATGAGTTTGATATAATTAATATACTAATCCATTGATTAGAACAAGGAAACCCCAACATTATTAGGGTAAAACAGTTAGTTATGGGCAAAGGAGACTCATATTCATTCTTATGAATATTCATGACAGTCATCAAACCTTACAATAGGCCTGACCATGAGGTAGGCTGACAAAACCTTGATCCTAGCAATCATTATTAAGGCTGTGAGTCTGTCATGGAGGTAACGGAAATCACGGATTCCATGACTTTCCGTGACCGCCATGATTTCTGCAGCAGCTGCACCCATGGCGCCCCTGCACCTACACCCCCCACCCCAGAGCACCCACGGCCCCCTGCCCAAGTTTTAGTCAGGGTGGGTATTTTTAGTAAAAGTCATGGACAGGTCACAGGCCCATGAATTTTTGTTTACGGCCCATGACTTTTACTAAAAATATCTATGACTAAAACATAGCCTTAATCATTATGCAAGCCAGAGAGAAGGCAGCTGGTGGTCCATAGGTGTCCTGTCTCATTACTTCTAGGTCTCCAGAAGAATAGTTGTGAGTATATGCATGAGATGATACTGGATGTCAAATTATTATCGTATTATTCATACTGTCATCTGGACTGGAACATTTGTGTGTCATCTGGACTGGAACATTTGTGTGTTAACTAACTTTAGTAATACAAATCTTAAAAGAGCAAAAGATCTTTTCCAGCCATGCATGTCAGGGTTCCCAACTGAACAATAATCCTAATAATACTGGATCAGATCTTCGGACGAGAGCCTATCAAACCTCAATGTGTTAAGTTATTAATTGTGAATTCTTAAGTAATCAATCCACCATCAATAAATCAGGCAATACTTGCACCTGGAAGCATGCAGGAAGTCAAAAAGAGATTTGAGCACTGATGCTGTTTTCTTCTAGAGAAGAGCAGCTGCATTCTGTATGGCAAAACACGTGCATTTACCCTACACAGATGGTGCAGACACTGCCTCTTTAAGCATCTGCCCCTTCCAACAAGCATCACAGCTGGTCAGGAATTATATGTCAACTTGTTTTTTCAGCTGAAAATGTGGTTTCCACAATCAGAATGAAAACAAATGCTGAAATATCTGAATTTTCTGGGGGACAGAAATTCAGATTTTCAATGAGTTCTAATAGACACCATTCCTCTCTTTGGCAGAAGATGAGACCATAGAACTGGGTTTGATTAAAAACAGACGAAACAGAGAACCATCAACGTATACATTACATTGCAGCCAAAAACATTTCCCAATCTCCACTAATGACTTCACATACACATTGCAAGGATGAGCAACAAGATGGAAGCTTGTACAGCAGCTGCCACTCAATAGCTCCTCCTCCTCCTCTTCCCATCCCACTGATAAGCTGTATACTATGAAAAGGAACTCATGTCAGTTCCTAGCTATCAGCTGAAGGAAGGAGGAATTTTTTAGTGGTTGCAGTATAGAACCATTACCCAGGCTCCAATGGGAGTCATTGGGGTATCCCTACACTCTTGTTTGCACTGCATGGGATACACTTGTATTCCCTCTTGCACTCATAGCCACCTTGGATATGGTGAGAAGGAAGAGACAATGGAAACATGGGAAGAAAGGAGCAAAGGGAGCAGGGGGAGAAACAAAAACCAAAAAGTCCTGGGATTGGGTAAGACAAGTAGGAGTGAAGAAGATCCAAGCAGCCATAGGTTATATGAAAGGGAGTCAAAGGGCTTAGAGGAAGAGACAGCAGCCAAGGAGCTACAAATAAAAAATAGCAGCCAAATGGACACATGCAGAAAGAGACCAGGCAAGGTGAGACAGGGTGAGGTGGAGATATGGAGCCACAGCAGTGAGAAGTGGAACCAAGGAGAGAGATTATAGGAGGGAGAACTTGGAGCAACAAGGCGAATGATAGGAAGCTAAGGGGAAGGGTGGGCCTTTATGCCTTTAGGGGTCTGCTTCTACAGTTTGTCCAGTGCCCCCAAAATTCTAGATTCAGTCCTGACTATCACCCAGGTTAAGCACTTACAGCAGTTCTTTTCATCCACCTTGTCAGGACAATCTGGAAAGCCGTCACAGATCATGGCGTGCTGGATACACAGCTTGTTTGATGGACATTCCCAAAGACCCCTTTCTCTACAACCTGGACACAGAGAACAAGAGCTTTGAGATATTCCATTTTAACATTTACATGCAATTAGAGCTGTGTGAATGGCTGATTTTTCAGTTAGCTTGCAGTTCTGAGAAACAGGAAAAAAAATGGTTCAGGTCAAATTTAAACAATTTTTTTGAAATTTTAGGTGAATTGAAAAAGTTGGAAAAAATTGTTTCAGGTGAAACTAAACATTTTGTTCAACCTGAAACTTGAATTGTCATTGGGTCAAAAAGAGAAAGCAAGTGAGAATGACTCTGTAACCCAGTGGTTAGGGCACTCAGCAGGGAGGGGGAACATTTGGGTTCCAGTCCCTGCTCAAGTGACTCTTCAAGGATTTTATACAAAGAACAGCCTCAACAGGAGAAACTGATTTCAGAGGGGTAGCCTGTATCAGCAAAAGGAGTCCTTGTGGCACCTTAGAGACTAACACATTTATTTGGGCATAAGCTTTTGTGGGCTATAACCCATTTCATCAAATGCATGGAATAGAAAATACAGTAGGCAGATATAAATACACAGCACACGAAAAGATGGGAGTTGTCTTACCAAGTGGGGGGTCAGTGCTAATGAGGCCAATTCAATTAGGGTGGATGTGGCCCATTCCCAACAGTTGACAAGAAGGGGTGAGTATCAATAAAGGGAAAATTATTTTTTGTAGTGACCCAGCCACTCCGAGTCTTTATTCAGGCCTAATTTGATGGTGTCAAGTTTGCAAATTAATTCCAGTTTTGCAGTTTCTGGAGAAACTGAGAGTGAGCTACTCCAGAATACCCTTAGCTGGGAAGTATGGGCACTCCTAGGAGACCAGGGTTCAAGTCCCTGCTCCAGAGTAGCAATTCAAACTTGGATCTCCCATATCCCAGATAAGTGCTGTAACCACCGAGCTAAAAAGTTATGAGACCACCTCCTTCTCCTGTTTTGTGAATGGTGCCTGAATCTCCTTCTGCATCTAGCCCCCAAAAATCTAAATGTTCAATTTTGATAAGGTCAAAACAAATCACTTTGACATTTCCAAACATTTTTCTTTTTTCATATTATCCAAAAAACCCTGCTGAAATCTTCATGAATTCATGAAGTTTTGAATGTTGCCCCAGATCTACTTCCAATATCAGATCTCTATAAGGTGTTTTTTTCCTTAATGTTTCTGAAAAATTCAAGGTATGTTCAATTTTTAATATATATTTTTAAAAGTATCAAAAATAATCATTACTGATGAGGGAATAGAAGCAAATTGTCAAAGTAAACACTTATTCAAATAGGCATGAAATATACAATGTTCCATTGTTCTTTCTGATCAATTACTCTTACCTTATCCTTTGCTTATACTAGATCCATCAATTTAGGCCCTAATTCAGGAAAACATCAATATCAAACTACTTCTGATATACATCACTAAGGATATGTGAGTAGTTCTCATCCTGGATTCTGCACAATTTAATTTAAAAGTAAAGGGCTGTGTTCAAAATATCAACATTTTGCATACTCGTCTTTCAAAAATGGAAATACTGTGAACTTGTTTCTTTTGGTAATCTCCATTAAATACCATGAATATTTTTTCTTGCAGTATTGATGTAAAAAGAGGCAGAGAACAGAATGAGAGGTGGAGAGGAGCTAGCCATATTGGGCATAAGTACGTTTCCTTGCTTGCAGTAATCTAATATTTTACCACTGCATCAAGTGGTTACACAGATTCACCCTTGCCAACTATATGCGTCTACCTGAAAATTCATTATTATGCAACTAACACAGCCATTTTCTCCTCCAAGTGACATTAATCAGTTGCACTGGCTTCATAAAAAAATCAAGATGAACTCTTGTAAAACTGGGTCAGAGTTTTTTGATATGTTTCAGAGTGGTAGCCGTGTTAGTCTGTATCAGCAAAAAAGAACGAGGAGTACTTGTGGCATCTTAGAGACTAAAATTTATTTTGGCATAAGCTTTCCTGGGCTAAAACCCACTTCATCAGACGCATGCAGTGGAAAATACAGGGAGATTATATATATATATACACATACATACAGAGAACATGAAAAAATGGGGGTTGCCATACCAACTCTAACGAGACTAATCAATTAAGGTGGACTATTATCAGCAGGAGGAAAAAAAACTTTTGTAGTGATCATCAGGATGGCCCATTTCAGATGGTTGACAAGAAGGTGTGATTAACAGTAGGGGAAAAATTAGTATGGGGAAATAGTAGGCACCTTGTTTGTCAAATGGAGGAAATTAAGAATGGCATGATGTAGGCTTATAAAACATCTAGCTTTCCAATTTTATCTTTACAGTTTTCTGTAAATGATTATTAAAACTTCTCACTACAACATCAGAGTTTGGAAACAGTTCACTTTGATGAAGAAATGTCCTCATGCATCACTGACACAATAGTAACACAGGAGGTCATAATAATACATGATAAATAGAATTCCCTTGATTTTACTCTACTAATATTTATTTAAATTAGATGGAGTTGTGGCTGCCTTGTTTAATCCATTCTATAGCTGATCACATTGGCTTTCATACTTTAAACTTAATCTGAGTTCAGATTCAGGTGACTGGCCCATGTGATCAAAACAAAAAATAAACAAACCTCGGTTCTGTGAGTTCCTACAGTACGGGTGGCTTGGATGGTATAGTACTATTAAACGTTTCCTGCGGCTGGAGTTCATGTAGTGCACTAGTTCAGCAAAGGATAGCAGTTACTAAGTTAGCAAAAGGAAATGTAGCTTACACAGTGTCTATTTCCAAGGTGAACACATTTATGACTGAGTGAGAAAAGTCAGCTCACATGGCTACAGAAATAATTTATTTGGGTTCCTCCATCAGTAATTGTAATGTAGTATACTGAATGCACATAGTACTCCACTTCATTTACATCTTACTTAATCAGCCACATTAGAACTGTTATGAATTGTACACAGAGGAATAATTGGCCTTCCTGAGAGGTCACGCATTACTGGGGAAGAATAAGCAATATTATGATGAACAAGTGTCAGGAATGAGGATTTGCAGCTGTGTCTGCCAAGTCTCCAGGCAGCCTATGAGCACAGGTGAGCAACAACAGGTCCACCTGATAGGCCACTTTGCCTGACTGGCCAAGAAAGTCAGCAAGTCTACTTTGAAGCCCCACATCAGCAACTGATCACTGGCTCCTCAACGCATGCACCCATACCTGCTATCTTTTCTGTGGCTGCCCTGCTCCTAGTCTCACTCCAGCCTTGCTCCTGCCTTGTTCCCAGCCTTGCTCCTGTCCTGCCCAGTCCACTACAGCCCTGCTCGGTTCCTGACTCTGACTCCAACCACTAGGCTGACCACCCATGTCCCAGTTCATGACAACCAGAATGAGGCATTATTAATTTATCTTCATTTCTCATATTTAAACACCTTGGTGCTGACAGTTATCAATTGTTGAAATGGTTCCCGATGGGCCAAGGAGGCAATGGTGAAAGCCAGGTTATCATGCTCTGTGTTTGGCTCAGTGTAGGTTACAGATTCTATCCCAAATCAGAGCCAATATTTGGGTTGAAGGTGCCAATATCTCAGAAATCGATTTTGTGAAATTCCTGAATGCCCTTCCTCTGGTTGAATTCCCTCCTAAGTTACAGAAGTCCAGGGTGCAACACGTGTGTGAGTTACACTTCCCTGTACCAGAGGAGGGATAGCTTATGCATCGCTGTCCCAGGTAGGGCTTTTGTATCTTAGGAATATGTCCAAGGTCAAATTCAGAGGCTTTGTCTTCATTTTAAAGGCACTTAATGGTCTAGGCACAGGATACCTAAAAGATTGCCTGAAACTCCAGGATTGGGCCTATGCTTGGTATGTGGCTACTCAACACATATACCCACATCTGTGATCTCTCCTGTCCCTGTCCTGCTCCTTGGGACAATAGAGTTATCCACTGCAAGAATAAAGCTCATCTGTGCAGTGGCTAGAGCTTTCTTGGGTGCCAGAGCAAGGCTGCGAAACAAACTCTCACAGGTTCTAATACCCATCTCAAATATCACCACTTTCCATTCCAAGTACACGGTGCAGCTCTTTGACCATGCCTTCCTAATAAATACATATAGCATAGCAGACATATATTGAATGAACAAAAAAAAATGTTAACCCCCCCAAACCTCTCTGCTAATTTTCCCTTTGAGAGTGAAAAAGGAGGTGAATGCTAGTCCCATTGCTTAATGTACTTGTGGAAGGCACTCGGACAGCACGATGGTGAGGGGAGATATAAGAACCTGAATAGAACAGAATAAGTGACTTTAGCCTAAGAATCTAAGGGCTTGTCTGGACAAACAGTGCATGGCAAGCTGGGCTGTAAACCTACTGTGCACTAGAGTGCGGTGTGGTAACTGTCTGTATGGGATCCTGCTGCTGCATAATAAAAATTCTGTAGAGCACTTTGATCTACTCCACTTTGAAATGGGAATAGGTCAATGCACACTAAGGAACTTTTAGTGCAGCGTAGCAGAGTCCACATGGACAGCTAGTATACAGCCTGCTAGTGCTCTGTAAGTTTACACCCCAGCTTCTGCTGCACTTACTGTTAGACAGGCCCAAAGTTATGCATCAGTCTGACTAAGCATTTACCACTAACTAAATATTTGTTCCCAGTTGCCATTGATTACTTTTAAAATTTGTACAATGTTTTGCTGTCAAGTGTCCTATGACTCCTGAGGACACTACATAAATGCATTAACACTGTTTATCTTTGAATGGAACAGAGGCACCCGTTAGAACAGAAATTCAGTGTGTATATTTCAACGACTCTGGCCATGGACATATAAACTATTTTTGCAGCAGAAGATCGAGAGTTCTATTCTGCATGCCAAATGTGTCGTTTTTGATGAGCATCTGTAGAATAAGGATTTTGCAATAACATGACTTTCTTAATTTAATGTTTATGAAAACATGCCTGTATTTATACAATCCCCATCTCAAATACTTCTTTTGATGGGAGAAGGGGATTGATGTACTATCTCACCTTTGTTCTCCTTAAAGTTATGTGTTAACTCATTGTCACTGATATATTCATTGTGCAATTCTTATTATTTGAGTCCTTAAAATTAAATGCCAGGACTTTTTTATCCCAGCTAAAATACTACAGTGAGAACTAGAGCTGCAGCAAACTGTAGAGGACAAAATGCTGATTTTGAAGGTTATGCTCCTTCACATCCACAATACTCCTGTTTGCCACCTTTCTGCTATTTACTGGCTATCCCCAGTGGAGTAAGGAAACTCTCAGATCTAGAGCAAAAGCTGGCAGAGCTGGTCCTAAGACATCCAACCCCAAAGGGCATGTCAGAGCAGGGAAGGGCAGAAAGGGAGAGGGCATAGCTGGCACTGAGCACAGCTCTATTCTGCCAATTTTAAATTTGCAGATGGACTCTTACAGGCAGCCTAAGGGCTGTTCTAACTTACACTCGAGCCAGGGCAGCTTGAGAATGTGGGAGCTGTAAATGCCCCCCTTCATCCTGTGATGTGCAGATCTTGTCATAGGACATAAATGGTCATAATCAGTCTGGTTGTCCTAACACGGTATCCACTACTGGTTGTTTATGGCATCTAAAATATACATTCTGTAAATACAGCTTGGTGAACTAATGGTACAAAAATTGGTGTGTTCTTTTCTTAAAAAAAATAATAAATCCAATATATTCTGAGCTAGCCATTTACACAGGGAAAGTTCAATGATCTCTGAGATTGTCCTACACACAAAGAATATGAATGAGCTAGAGACAGCAACTTCTAGAGCTCTAAAAGCACTGGCTGTTCTTCAGTAACATCATTACCCATGGTCAATGTAATGTCATTCTGACAGCTGTAATTTTCTAGCAGATGCAGCCTTCCATATTTATAGAGGCTGATAAGAATTCCGTTGATTGCTAGCAACATTTTGTCTAGACCAAAAAGAGAGAGATCTACTTAAGAAATTTGTTTTATGTATCAAAGCAATATTTCAGACCTTAAAGTCAAGGAGTATAAAATGACTCTAAAAGATAGTTAGCTATTAGTGTTCTCAGGAGTTAAAAGCAAGTGTCAATGACAATAATTTTGAAGGAAGGGCAACCAAAACAATTGTTAACTAACTAGAATTTTTTTCCAGGGGATTTTCTCATTGCTGCTCAGCCAAAGAACTTTCTCTACATTTAAGCAGTAAGAGTTGCTTTTCACCATGAAAAAACTCTGGAATGAAACTGAAAATAAAGTTTGCAGTTACAAGTGATATTCTTGAGGCTACTGCTGACAGTAACATGTAACATTTCACAGATTTTTCTTGAGGAAAAGGGGCTTATCTTTTGAACTTTCAGACTGTTCACTGAACAAAATGACAGAGAGCAACAGTTATGTCCTCTGATACTCCAGCCATTTTCCATTAAATCAACTGACTCATTTCATTTATTTACCACAGTTGTCCTCGTCACTATCATCTTCACAGTCAGCCTGGCCATCACATCTTCTGGATGCCAAGACACACCTTCCAGAACGGCACTTGAAGTGACTGGGTGAGCACTCTGTCAATGTCAGAAAACATAACACTTTCAGCAAACTGGAAAGCGTTAATTATCACACAGTACTCGTTATTTATTATTATTATTTATCACTTTGACTGAGTTAAATGGGTAAAAGACAGGAACAGAAACCCTGTGAGATACTAAGTTGGAGCTATGCAGAAACAGAAACTATCCTGGACGAAAATATGGAGGATGGGGTGGGTTTGAATACACATCACTACTTTTCCACAGCCATCTCTTCACATACTGCCACCTCTCAAGTTTCGAAGCCTCACAACATTATTGACAAATATTGTTTAGATTGAGGGCACTGCTTTTCTAGTTATATTATCCACTGATGTTGTGTTGAACAGATAAAGGTAAACCATTCAGTGTGTTGATTTTATAACAGATAATATTTAGCAATTACATTGCCTTTTTTTAAATTCAGAGTCCTTAATAAGTATTCACCAATTAATCCTCACATCACAATGGCCAGAAAGGATTTTCAGAAGTGCCTTAGGGGAAAAAAGTACCATTGAAAGTCAATTTGGATTTTTGCTCCTAAGTCACTTAGGGCTAGATTCACAAAAGGATTTTGGTGCCTAACTGCCATTTTAGGTACTTAAGTCCAACATTTAGGTGCAATTGAGATCCTTACAACCCCTGCTCAGCTGCCACCTAACCCTGGAGCCACCTAAAGTCCCTAGGTAGCTGAGTTTCCACCATTTAACTCCCCAAGGCACCTAGGTTTCCACTAGTGAGTATGCACACAGTTGCCTCAGTCTAGGCAGCTGGGCTCCTAACTGGCCTAAGTCCCAGTGGGATCCTCAAACAAGGGGTCCCTCTGCCTATTTTTCTGTGAACCCAATCCAGTAGAACTTCTCAGAGTACACTTATACACATACAAAGTTACAAATAAAACTCGTGACCTTAAGAAAATAGCAATGTTTTCCACTTTCTTTTAAACAAAAATAATTATGTTGACTATCACTGCTTGGGGATAAAGTCTGCTGTGAGTAAATTCATTTGAGTTCACTGGGCATGCCATCTTGGAGCAGTTCATTCTTGGATTCATCACATACTGTAAGGTAGCTGTTTTGGGGAGGTTAAATGATTCAATACTGTAGTGTTTTTGCCAGCTATAGTTTAAGTGGGCAAATCACCTATATTCTGTAATCATTAATAGGACTCCGTGTCTGTCACGGAGGTTGCGGAAGTCATGGATTCCATGACTTTCCGCGACCTCTGTGACTTCTGCAGAGGCCATTGTGGCTGACCCCAGGGCTGCCCAAGCAGCTGGTTCAGGGGACAGCCACACCACCGATGCTGGAGCAGCTCTGCAGCCAGCCGCTCAGGCAGCCCTGCTGCCAGCTGCACCGGCTGCTAATGGCCCCCAACAGTGGTCCCCAGGGCGGCCGGAGCAGCCACTGCTCTGACAGCCACCAGCAGTGGAGCGGCTGGAGGGGGCCCCCCAGGGTGCCCTCCCTGGGGCGGCTGGAGAAGCGGCCCCCAGGGTGTCCTCCCTGCAGCAGTACTCCCTCCCCCCCGCAGCAGCCTCCCCAAGATTTAGTCAGGGGTATTTATAGTCTAAGTCATGGACAGGTCACAGGCCGTGAATTTTTGTTTACTGCCCGTGACCTGTCCATGACTACTTACTAAAAATACCCATGACTAAATCGTAGCCTTAATCATTAAAATTTAAAAGGATCTCAAAGGTCTAATTTATTTTGCTGTAGTGTCCTTCCGAAATATTTATTATAGTATTTTAAACTTTCCAAGAAGGCTTGTCTTTCTAACTAACATTGGCAGCTGGTGCAAATCTTTCATTAAACAAATATGAAATATTAGCAGTGAGCCAGCCTAAGGATAACTTTGATAGCAGTGCTTTACTAAGCAATTAGGCTATTTATAAAGGAATAACTATCAGTATACATTTCTCTTTTGATTTGTTCTACAAGGGTGTCTAACCCATACTGTCAGTGACAAGATAATAAATGGACAGCCTGGTAGTCAGCCCAGTAGCCACATTCTATTTTACTAATTTAACTGAGATGTTCCTGAAAGGGACTTTAAAGGAGATGCTGAAAAAATGTGTGCACCCAATTTAACTCTGTAAACATTTCACAACTGTTTTTAAACATTAATTTAAAAATGTATCCAATTACATCCTACCACTCAAAACCAAAGTTTTTACTCCACACAGAGGAGGGATAGAAGTTAATTTATACACTGCAGATTAACACCACATTATTTTTCCTACAACTGGGGATTTTCACTAGGATTCCTTGCAGCAGAAGTTTGATTTTATTTCCCCTATATAGTACCTTCTATTAATGGATGATTATTTTACCCCACCAGATTGCTGCAGGGCATAGCTTAAGGCTGAATTTACTCTTATGTCTTCTAGCTTCTCAATATAAACTATTTTATTATTATTACATGATTTATGCATATCTTTCACGGTGATTTGGGCACACAGACATTGGTGCAGAGTGTGGAGTACAGGAAGTAATATGTTCTCACTGTCCTGGTCCACTCAGAAGACTGTCAGTCATATTCTGCACTAACCAGGCCAGTCCAGGTAAGGCATGTTGCATTATCCTAGTCTAGAGATAACGAAGTTGTGTACAAATGGAGTTTGGTCCATACTGTGAAGGTATAAAAAAAAGGTGGATTTGCTCACTAATGCAATCTTAAAATCCAGGAAGCAACAAAGACTTTATAAAAACAACAAGGAGTCTGGTGGCACCTTAAAGACTAACAGATTTATTTGGGCATAAGCTTTCGTGAGTAAAAACCTCACTTCTTTGGATGCATAGCTATGGTTTTTACTCACGAAAGCTTATGCCCAAATAAATCTGTTAGTCTTTAAGGTGCCACCAGACTCCTTGTTGTTTTTGTAGATACAGACTAACACGGCTACCCCCTGATACAAAGACTTTATAAGGCCTCCTGAATGTGAACCAAATTGGTGATCTGCAGATAAACACCTTGGATGCAGCTATACCCTTTGATGAACCATCAAATGCTTCCCTACCCAAGTCAGCATCCTATCTTTCTTATCTAGCTGGATTGTAAAACAACTGGCTTTAAACTTTCAGAGTAGCAGCTGTGTTAGTCTGTATCCGCAAAAAGAACAGGAGTACTTGTGGCACCTTAGAGACTGTGGAAGCAGAGAAAGAACTGACAGGAAGGGGATTGCAATGCATGACAGTTTGTTAGCAAGAGTCAGGCTAACTGT